TATTGGGCAGGCCTTCGGCTGCGCACTTCCGGCTCAGGGTAAATGAGCCCTATTATAACTTAAACCCTAAACCCCTAAAAAACCTAAACCCTAACCCCTGAGACCTATACCGGAAAGAATGGTTGGTTAGGACTTACAGGGCTTGGGGCTTGGCGTTGGCTACGTAGGGATTAGGGTTTTGTTGGGTCTGCTTTAGGGTTTCAAGTGTGGGACTCAAGATTGACATGGGGTAGCTTTTTTGCTACATCTTTGATGTTTGTAACATATGTAGGGGCTCTATAGGGATATACGAGCAATTGACCTTAGTGAGGGAGTTCGCAAGCTTTGAGAGCCGTAGAACCGGCCTCAAGGAGCAGGGCTGCGTTCAGCCATGAGTCCCCCACTCCAGACTTGGGTGGGGGAGGAGGGAGGGGGGAAGGTCCGTGAATAATACCATGGTGCCCAGTAAGATTACATCCGACTCTTTAAGGGTAGATTATGAAAGATACAGAACATAACCGTACCTGGTTCAGCCACCAAAAACAGTACTACCCCAAACCTTAAACCCGCTAGACCCTTAAACCCTAAACCCTTTAAATCCTAAACCGTCAACGATAACCCTAAGCCCTATAAACCCTTATAAACCCTAAACCCTAAATCCTTAGCCCTATAAACCCCAAACCCTAACAAAACCTTATACACCCCTACACCTTAATGGTCCCCAAAGGATCCTACGCACCTATATAGGGGATATTAACCTAGGGTTTAGGCTTTAGGGTTTTTAGGGTTTAGGGTTTTTAGGGTTTAGAGTGTTTTTGTACCATATAGATGCCTCGGATCTTTTGGGGGACTTGTTTTAGCCAGGCCTGGGTGCATGTCGCGTTGTTTGGGCCGGTGCTTTGAGCCTGGGCTTGGCAGCCTCGCCGGCAAAGGGGGGGGGTAATTAAGGCAGAACTTCAGGGGTTGGGTAGTATAGAGCCGGGGGGGAGGGGGGGGGGACGTATTTGGGTTTAGGGTTTAGGGGGTGACCCATGGTTCCAGGATATAGCATCAACCGCACTATCACTGTCACTGGCACAAAGACCTTGCGACAGCGACAACAAAATTGCCATCCGCGGGTATGCCATTCAGTTGAGAGTCGCAAAGGGTCCAGACTTGGTACTTGGGATTCTGGGGAGGAGTAGTTTTTTGGGAGGCATATCAGTATTACGTACTTGGAGCCTTAGAGAATGTTTTGAGATATTCTGTCACAGACCAATCCCTCAGCTAAGGCAACCATACATATTCCCAAAGGCCCCATGCAGCCGTGTAGTGGTATAAGGTTTAGGGTTTACGGTAGATACACAGTATGCATTGGGCTTTGAGGTAGGTATATGCGAAAGTGGTCGCGCCCGATCAGGCGACTCACCAATGCAAAGCAAGAGTGTCACGCAGCACCGACCAACAAACAAACCAGAGAAACGTACGGTCAGCTACGAGCGATGCAAGGACGGTCAACGGGGTCAAAGCGCGGCGACAACATGCCAGGAAGTCCGAAAGAATCAGGCATTCCCGCCAGTGCCCGATCATGTAGACATTTGCACGCTGTGGACGCTTGGAACGATCATCGGAACAGCTTCTGGCGAATGATTGCAGCACAGCGCGCAGCCTTCTTCTTACCGCGCGAGAAGCGCTCCCGTCGCAGTTCAGGTTTCAGTCTTCCTGCCCCCAATGGCAGGTAGGCCATCATGCCTGAGCACCGCCAATGATTCGAACTACTTTTTTTCTAGGGTCAATGCGGTAGGACTGGGCTGTTTCAGGTCACAGGGTGCATGTTAACTATGGAGTCAAGAAGCGTAGGACCAATTTCAGAGCGTTCACCGGGTAGCTCCAATTTGGCAAAGGTTACGATATTTATCATGGTGCTTTGCTGCTGAAGCAGCTTACGCACTGTCCAGCCAATGAAGGAGTGTTTCGCGAGCACGGACTGAAGTTTTCACCTTGCCCCACTGCAGCCACGGCATGCGGCCATGTGGGCACAGATTTGTTCCTAATGTTTTGCCGCAAAAACGCATGCCTGCGCTTCAGCAGGCATTGGATTAATTTGTTTTGGCAGCGCTTTGGCAAGAGCCTATTCCGACAGGTTCAAGGCAGCAGGCTGCCGCGCCAGTTGCTGCCCTGGATTTGCGGTTTTTGAGCGACACTGTTGGGAAGGTCCGGCCCGACGTTCCCATGTTTGCCATCAGAAGTATATCATGTTACTGTACAATGTGGAGTCGCCAATTTTCAAGTAGCAACCATACAAGCAGCAACTGAACTAGCTGTCGGCTTCTGAGCGACAGAGCCTGCAACACCCGGCGCAGCGCATGATAGAGAATCACTGCATCAGCCTTTTCCGACAAAATTTTGCCAACACCTCCGAGGCAATGAGTGCGTCACAATTTTCAGAAAATCGCTCTATTGAATGTTGTTTCCGCATTCCTTAACCCCATCGATTCATCGATGGTTTGGGACCGTCCCCCCTCAATAAGCCACGCATCCTAGACGCTCTGGCCCTCGGGCCTCCTTACTCGCTTCATCTCAGCTCGCCATCAGGCCTCTCCAATCGCTTTAGCAAGCAATGGTATTTAGAGCTCTGAGCACGCTTTAACGGCTTAAGCGACAACATCCTAGAGCCCTGAGGTTCTTCATTCGCTTTCAAAAGTGCCCTCCGGAGTCTCCCTAATTAGTGTTTTAGCGTTCGCGTTCTTGGAATTCGCAGCACTCTTTACCCATTTTGGGAGTTTTCAACACTGCGAACAACAGCATTCTGATCCCCGACGCTCTCGCTAGAGAGTTTTCAGGCTTCAAATCGTTCTTTGTTATAACATTTTGGAGCTCTCATTGTATTTCTTCGGCAAGTAGCACGTCAAAAATTGATGCCTCTAAAAAAGCATTTGGGGCTGGAATTTTTGTACCAAATGGGGGGTTGATTTTTGTTTTCCAGCCAGGGACTTCCTGCCTGTATTGGCGTTTAGAACTGGAATGTCAGCACTGGGATTTTCCACGAAAAAAGATGCAAATTCCGCACGCGCTGCCTTGGACTTACTTACTTGTTTATCTTGTCCTTGTGACAAGGGTGGTTTGCCCGGCTTCTGCCAAAAGTGAATGCCGTGGCAAATTGTGCAGCAATCTATGCAATGGCTTTGTGATTGTTGGTCAGGATCTGCGTTTGCAAGTGGCAATCAATTTCGAGGATTTGCTGCCCGCCCCAAGTGAACGGATGCGATCATCGCAAGGGTCGTAGGTGTTGTGGCCGAACGGATGAGTTTCAAGGACGCCCGCGCGCGGGGCAAGGCATGTGCTTGAGTTGTGCCCTCTAGCGGATTAATTGAGGGTTCAATATCACCAACCACAACAACCATGACCGTGACCATGACGGCGAAAACGACGTCGACAACAGTATGAACAACTTATCAGCTGATTCAGTCCTCAAGCTTGATGGCCACGTTCATAGAATTACGTTGTTTTCTGTCCGCAAGAAAAATTCGATATTCGACAGGCACGATGCCGAGGATGTGGATGCGGCTATAGAATGGATTGCCGTCCGTCGGGGCGGGCGATGTGGCCGCACGTGCGTTATGCGCGCCCAAGAAAATTCCAATCAGCACTGCGCCTGAGGTATTCCGACTGTTGCGCACGAAGTCAAACTTCCCATGCTTTAAATTCCAACGCAGCACTTGCGCACAGGACGCGTAATGCAGCATTTTTTCTGCATGAAGATACACCACACAAGACGGTTTTGGTTCACAACAATTGTTGAAATTTCAAAGCTACAAATATTTTCCGTTCAGGCTGCGGCATTGGAAGCTACTTCATTTCAGACCCAAGTGTTGTAAGACGGAAGTCCAGAGGTGAAACTACAGAAAGTACCCAGACCGTGAAAGATTTCCTTTTTAAATGGAAGTCCAACCATACATGAAAAAGGGTTTTCGCGCAAAAGCCTTCCGGATATCTGGGGCAGCCCCGATACGGAGGGTACTGGAAGGTACCGAACCATCAAAAAAGATCCCTGTGGGCGAAATGATTGTTAACTCGAATTTTGCAACTTTGCACTCTCACTGACACCGGAATAGTCTGGCGAAAATATTGTTGCGTCATTGAATCTTTCATTTACTCGGCTGGAGGACCAGGATATGTAGCCTTGAATTTTCCCATTTCCGCACGAGCCCCCACAGGCGTGAAAAGACCATGTCAGGAAGCATTTGCATTAAAACTGGTATCGCATAATTTCGTTAGAGAAACAAATGTGTACGACGGGTAACTGGCTGTCAAACTGCTTCGTGCCAGGGAGGCCGCGCAGCTTTGAGCGGCGGATGCCAGCGTTTTCTGGAGACCTCCCGAATGATTCCCGGAACGCATGCCTGACTTGTTGGGAACCATTGGAAAACAGAGAATTTAATTTTCATGGTGGTGTTGGCGGCGGTGGCGGCGGCGGCGGCGGCTGGTGCTGCCGCCGCCGCTGCTGGTGCTGCTGCTGGTGCCGCCGCGGCTGCTGCTGCTGTTCTTCCTCCTCCTGCCCCTCCCTCCTCCTGCTGCTCAAAACTCTAAACCATGAACCCCCAGACCTGAACCTCAAACCCCGAATCCTAAAACCCAACCCCATTGACCCGAAATCCGTGAACTCCAAACCCTGAACTCTCAAAACCAACACTCGAAACCACGAACCCTAAGCTTCAAACTCTTGAACCAAAAGCTGACATCCCAATCCTGAACACTAGATCCGCAGCTTGCGAGATCCTAGGCCGTTTGAAGCAGGTAGCACATAGTGAATCCCCTGTGTGTAGCACCCAAAACCCTGGATCCTACGCTCCAGACGCTAGTGGAAGCTGGGCACAAGAAGCCAACGGGGTTGGAAACCCTCGAATCCTGCACCCTAAGCCCTCAAACCTAAACCCCAAACCCTAAACCCTAAACCCCTAAACCCTAAACCCCAAACCCCTACCCTAAACCCCAAACCCCTAAACCCCAAACCCCTAAATCCTGAGAGGCAGGAGGAGCTGATGAACGAAGCCGAGCCGGAAAAGCTTAGGCCCCGGATCTGTCAGGGGTTCTTGGAGGTTCGGGGTTCGGGATAATCATAACCCAAGAAGAGCTGGTACGTGCACACAAGTGATGCCCACATTAGTTGGGGGGATTAGAAGTGGCTTAAAAGCCAATTCTAGTTGGGTTATGATTTCCCTGAACCTCCAGGTTTGGGATGTGGTAAACTCGCTGCACCAGGGGGTGTATTGGAGACTGAATCTTGTAGGGGATCCTATAGGCATGCTGCAGGGATCATTTTAGGGATCCGTTGCCTCGCTCCGTATCGAGAACCAGTGAGTTAATCCCCAAACTCCCCAGAATCACCATACCCAACCTTAAACCAACCTCTGTTGTGTAGGACTTTCCTGGTGGAGCTCCTGATGCGCCGGGCGCAGGAAGCTAAGCTGGATAGGTTGCCGGCAAAAAGCTTTGAGCCTGAAATGGGCTCTCCAATACAGACCTGTTTCGGCTTTACGGTATGGGATTCAGGGTTTAGGGTATTGGTTGTTTAGGGTTAAGGGTTTAGCGCTCGGGGTAGGGGCTCAGCGTTTACGGTAGGGCTTGCGGGGGTTTGCCAGGACCCTCTCGTGTGGTACATTCCTGAGTTTGTCATGCATTTTTTGGAAATTCTATTCTATTTCCTCTGGTAAAAGCTAAGACCGCCCAAGAGAATACTACAATAGGGCCTGGCAGTTGGGTGAGAATGTTGAGGCATTATACACGGTTTTGCACCCATAGAGCACGCCTGGAGGCAAGTGTCTTATTCCCAGATTTGGTGGAGTAAGTCGAAAAAGTTCTGCAGAATTTAGAGAAGATAATTCTAAACCCTTACTCCCAAGGCTTGAAGTGTACACCCCAAGCAGTGAATCATGCCGGCGGCCAACTGAAACAGTTTGTTCAAGATTGCAAATGCATGCACCCAGTATGTGCCGCAGAAGTCAGCGACATACAGCTCTATAGGTGAGTTCAAAGTGGAACCCCTGTGAACCTCTGTACCGTTTCTCAGTTCCTTGAAATGGCAACTACGATTCCTATATTGTCCCTTTCAACCTCGTCATCATGCAATCCCTATACACCTCCCTTTCATCCCTCCTAACTACTAGGCCCCAACCAACACCCTAGATTCTGAACCCTTGCACCTATACCCCCAGCCTAAACCCTACCGTCTAAACCCCTAATTCCTAACCCCTACATCCCAAACCCCCAGCCCTAAACCCGGCAGTCTGAACCCCACTCCCCAGACCCTTCACCCAACCCTGGACCCTATCCTTACTGGTTCTTAGTTGGGAATATGGGAATATCCTAAACCCTAAAACCAAGCAGCCATGGGAAATCAAGCCTGCAGTGACGGCTGCCGAAGCGATCCACATGCTGCGAACTTCCGATTTAGCGCCATCCATGAGCGCCTGTTTCCCATGTGGGCTACAGTCTAAACTCCTTAAAAGGAGTTAGTTATATAGGGGAATACATAGGGGAGTATTATACGTGTTATGTAGGGGGGATACTAGGAGTTTAGACTATGTGTGGGGTTGTGTTCAAAGCGATTTGATGTCAGTTTTTTTCGAGACTCTCGTGGAAAGTATGGGACTTCACTAGGTCCCTAGATTTGGGAACTTCCAAATCTTCTTCCCCTGCAGGTATGTGGTGAAGGTGTCGGATTTCCTCCGCATGGAGGGCGCCCCGCTTGCCCATGATGCGCTGCAAGAGGAGGGCCTGCTCCATGAGTGGTATCCAGGCGTCGGGGTGGTGTAGGTTTGACCTGGACCCTATGGAACCCACGTTTTTAGGGTTATGCATTTTTTTTTCCGTATCTATCCCTGGAATTTGGGCTTCGGGTCTGAGGCATCACCTCGGCCTTCTACTTGAAAATAGTCAAGCTGGCAATGAAATTAGAACTGGGATATAATGGGTTACGTAGGGGTTATAGGGTTTGTAAAGATAGGTTTTAAGGTTTAATGGAAAAGAAAACGGAAACTACTGCATTATCATAGGGTACATATATATGTGTATATATATATATATATGTAGAGGGTTATGCTCTGTCCTTATGGTGGGCTTGGCATCTTCGTTTTCATGATCATTATGCCTACTGTGGGGGCTGCTACCATGTTACTTGTCATGATCATCCGTGCTACGCCTTGTGTGTAGACCTCCGTGGGCATTTTCAACATGTTTCCCATAGAGTCCCACCCATAGGCCTTTCATAGTCTCTGCATATCCCTGGGTTCCTGGTGGCTCCCCTCTTGGAGACCCTTGTGTGTTGTGTTAGGGGATGGGAGGGATTTGAGCGGCTGGTTCAGGGTTTAGGTTTTTGGGCTTCGAGAAGAGTTAGCTGCCCATTTGGCATGCAGCAGACTGTCTCCGAACCATCCGTAAGCCACAAGACCAGCGCTACTTCTGAAAGTGGAGGTTAAAAGTCGAAACTCAGGGTTTCTCAAAATGGGGTGTCTTCAGTAAGTCTAGCTAAGCTGCAAGGTAGTAGGGGTCCCTCTGACGGGTTTTGTCCTAAACCCTACACCCTAAACAGCGTGAAAATTCCCATTTCCCCCATGGAGACATGCTATGTAGTGATTCTAGAGATCACAGAGCGCGTGGGGTTTGATGGATTCGGTGTGAATTTATTTTCAGTTATAACTTGATACTTGTGGTGAGTGTACGTAGGATTTCGCGCGAGTATTGGTAAGAATATGTTTCGGGTGGGCTTGTGGGCGGCAAGGGGTATGGACAATATAGATCAGAACGCGGTTGACTTACGCAAAGGCCGAAAACCCATCAATATACTAGGTTGCTGTTAAGGAACTTAACTTAAGTTATTATAGTGGGGAAACCATATCACTTACTATATATATATATATGTATATATACACCCACTCCCCTTAAGCACCAGTAGGAATAGTGCATGCAGCCGCGTTCGAAGCTGACAAAATCTCAAAGCAGATGTCATCAACACACCCAAGTGCTTAAATCCTCAACCCCAAACCCCTGCTTGGAGATCAGGGGGGGGAACTTTTAACCAGGTTAATAATTAGGATGACTATGGATACTACATGGGTTATAGTGGTACTAACCTATTTAACAAGTCCCCCTGACCCTCCAAGTAGCTTCATGAGCATGGTATGCGCCCATAGACACAAGCCTGAATCCTTTCGATTGATGGGCAGCATCTTGCATGACCCTCCATACCCCAATCCTAGCAACTCTAGCACAATTGCATACTTGGGGTCATGCAGCATTTTGTCCGTGATTGCGTCACAGGCATGTTTGCAATTTTCGTGTCTCATCAGTGGCTGGGGGCCTCTCATCCAGATCCTCAGGGAAAGCAGGCCATCAGCCTTCTGCAGCTCTAAGGTCTATAGTCCCCCTTTAGTAGCTAGAATATGGCAATGCCAATGCCATAATAGGATCCCCATGTACCCCCATGTTCTCTCCACATAAGCGGGACTATAGGTTTCCACGATTCACGGCTACGGGGTTCAAGGCTTAGCAGAAGCGCGAGGATCTAGGGATCGGGGCTTGGGGTTCAGGGCTTGGGCGTTAAGGCCTTCGGAGGTTCAGGGCTAAAGGGTTCTGAGCTTAGGGTTTTGGAGCTTCAGTGTTAAGGGCTTAGCAGTTTAGGCTGTAGTGCTTTCAGCGCTTTGGAGTTTCATCCTGTAATCTTCGAATTGGCAAGGCGAGTATTGATTTCGAGGCGGGGGCTGTCCTTTCTGGTGCTAAATGGGAGAGTAGGGGAGTGGATCATAATGGCTACTTCTATATTATCCCGGTATATGCCTTATCATACTGCTACTCACCCCCCCAACACCATAAGATCCACAGGGTCTCAACAGGTGGTAAGAAGATGTCTAGTGTCACAATAGATCTTCAACAAGAGCGAATATCTTGTTGTCTACCTGGAGCTACGCTGAGCTCTAGACTCTAAATCGGTCTAAGTTGGAAATAGTTTCAATTTCGTATTTCACTAAAGACGAAGCTATCGATTTTGATGGTATCCCGATGTGGAATGAGGAGACCTCAATAAACCCTAAACCCTAAACCCTAAACCCTAATCCTGAGCCCTTGGCCTGGAAACAACACTGTCCAGGTTGAGGTGCTGCGCAGCGTGCTCCGTGGCTTCATGGACGGCTCCCTCCAGGCGATTACTTGGGGCGGTTGGGTGTCAGGATGAGGATTTTGGGGAGGGTTGAGGTTTAGGGTTTAGGGTTGAGGGTTTAGGGTTTAGGGTTGAGGGTTTAGGGTTTAGGGTTTAGGGTTTAGGGTTCTGGTCTGAAATTGTCTGTTTGGTGTGCAGTGTTGTTAAGGCTGCTGGCACCTCACACCTGTCCACCTCTTGCTCCTTTGCTCGTCGGGTAAGTACCGAAGGCGGCCCTCTCTAAGAACTTCCCCATGCTCGGACTGGGCATACTATTTAGGGCATCCTGAAATATCTCCACGTCGCCTACCTGCCGTGTTTTTCCTCTCTCTTCTGTGAGTTTGCCCAGGGTTCCTGACTTTCTGCTACCGATGAGAGACCAATGTTAGCACTGAAATACCATCCTATAATTCCAGTTCCCATGTAAATTTCCATTTTCTTTTCCATGCGATGTTCCATTTCTGGGGCAATATCCCTCAATCCTGCGCCCCGCACCCGTAGCCCTAAATCCTAAACCCTTGACCCTAAAGCGTAAACACTACATCCTAAGTCTTAGATCCTATGGTAGTTTCCATGGTCCTCTCCAGTCCTAAACCCTGTTGGGATTATATTGGGGCTATATAGGAATTATGGAGAGTCAAGCAAGATGAAATGGAAAGCACGCTTGTATAGTAACTTATGGGATTAACGTTTCCATAGATCAGGGCTAGGTCCTGGAAGCATGGATAAACTCATTTTGAGTCTGTACTTACGTCCCCCGGTTTATGGAAACTGCCATATCTCCCTAGAATCCTTTTAAAGGACCCTAAGGCCAATGGCGAATGACTACTAGGGAATGCTAGACCCTAAACCCCAAACCCTAAACCCTAAACCCTAAGACCCAAGCCCTGAACCAGTCTAAAGACAGCAGCCCTAGCCTTTCGGGGGTTTCCGAAGTTTAGGAGCCCGTCGTAGTGTTGGAAGTGCCCAAGTAGGGGAGAGGGTGTAGGGTTCCAACATCGAGAGGATCCCAACTAGGTACCATCTTAGTCCTTAAGCCATTCAAAATACATCTGACGGGTTGCAGAACTTATTCCAACCCTAAACCCTAAACCCTTCAACCACGTTCGACCAGGTGGAGCCCCATGTCCCCAGTATGATCTACTCGGGCTTCGTGCCGACATGGCCTTCTTCCATGAGCACTGCCATTGCAAATGGCTTTCTGTTCTTCGATTGGTTCGCTTTGCCACAGCTCTTGGAGTGGAGTTGAGATGCAGGCTTTCTTTTTTTTCTCCTCTGAGTCTCCCGACATTCCGAAAGAGTCTTCATATGTGGATAGGTAAGTATTGCGCTCAGCGCACTGCATTCCATACGGCCTTTTGGGCCTCTGTAGGGAAAGATTTGCCCAGCATAGGTAGGTCTAAGGTACTACCGGCAAGGTTTCCCGAAGAATTGGCAAGGCCAAGCAAGCCCTGGTAAGCCTGATGAAGCCCCCAAATTGTCCCCAATCATCTCAGGCCTTATGGCCTTGACGAGTGGGGACCCGTAGACTTGGTGGTCCCATAGTGACCTCATGAGCTCTAGTCTAAACTCCTAGTATCCCCCTTAATAACCCCTATAGTAGTCCCCTATATAATCCCCCATTTAACCCCTTTAAGGAGTTTAGACTATTGCTCTCATGGGTTTGCTCTCACGTAAACCCCAGGCCCTAAAGCTTTGGGGTCAGGATCACGGCGCGGAAAGAGGGTGTGAACGAAGAGGTTACAAGATCCGATGCCGCAAAGGCGGTACAGTCCATTCCCGCGTATGTTGAGGCCCTTTTTTTGTTTAGGGTTTAGGGTTGTGGAAACTTCCAAGTTCTAGCTCTATCTTATGGTTTCCATTACAATATACCTACCCATAACATCCCTATAGGATCCGCTTTAGAATCCCTAGATTAACTCAGCGGTACAAAGCTTCTAAATTGCACTCTATCTTGGTTACTACCACCCCAGATCTGAACCCTAACCCTAAACCCCTAATCCCAAACCCTAACCCTAAATCCTAAACCCCAAACCCCTAAACCCTAAAACCCTAAAACCCTAAAGCAAAAACCCCTAAATCCTAAACCCTAAACCCTGAGCCGCACTATACCTACCTTCAGGCCTGTAGCCTCTTCATCACCCTAGCGCCGGAGCTACGGCACACAGAAACTTGCTGGGGTTTGGTAGGGATGGACGGAAGCCACAATCAAGGGTTTAGGGCTTGGGGTTTGGGGACTTTGGTAGGGAACTGAAAGAAACTGGAATTTTCGGCCATTGGAATCCTCATCGTGGCTGGCCTTGGCCTCTGACACATCAGAGAAGCGTGGTTATTTCTCCATGTTACCCTTCGGCGCCCAGCAAAACAGTGCTGTCTAGTTGGCTCTGTGGAAGCTCAGGCCTAGTGATCTTTGAAGGCTCCTGAAAAAGCGAAGCTCATGCGTGATGGAGCCTAGCAAGCCTAAACATGCAACAGTTGTGCCCCGCCGGCGTGGATCATTGTTTCACCTGCAAGGCTCTTAGGTGTCCAGCCCGGGTGCTTGGGTCCTTGCTCCACTGGCTCCACATGCGTGATGTGTTGGTTTTCGAAATTGCGGCTCCCGAACCTATTTTTAATTTTTATATAACGCGGAGCCAACAAAGGGCCGGATCCCTTGCGGCTTTGTGCTGCTTCAGTGCTTGTGTCTAGAATTTTCAGAGTTCAGGGTCATCTCAGGCGACTTGAAGTGGCTGAGCATCCGCAGTTCGTTGCGCCACAGGCCGCGGTGTGGGCGCAGGATTTGCTGGCTTGCCATCCGATGCAGGGCCTTCGCCAAAGGGATGCCAAAACTCAGCGTCCCCAAACACGTCGACTGTGGCATCTTTGCACAGTCTGTCACTTACGTATTTACGTGGCACAGGGTGCCCCAGCTGCTTGTTTGTGAGGTTCGCGCGCTGCACCCGTGCAGAACGTCGAGGTGGGGACCAGGTGAAAAACCTCGGTCTCCCCCAAGACATGTTGAAAGCCCTGGCCCAGAAGAACCTCGAGACGCCCCTGGGCAAGAGGTGCAAGTCGCGCTCCAGCAGCACGGACAGGAGCGCCCCCGCATCACAAGGAATTCGTTGTTCAGACTACTGTTGCCAGGATGTCCCACTGGAGGAGGGCCGCCACATGGGTCTCAGCATTCTGGGGTAGCTTCAGGACTTGCCCCCATGCTCCGCAAAACCCCACTATACGTTTTTCAAACTCAGGCAGCCAAAATTTGGGGCTTAGGGCTTGGGGTTTAGGGCTTGGAATGGAGGAATGGAGCCGTATGAGAAATAGTCCCTATATAAAGCTTCATGGTATCTCCTGAACCCCACATTCCCTGGTTCCCTGCTGCTTCCTGTTAAGGAAACTGGGGCGATTTGCAACTATGCGTCGTGGCTATCCAGAGGCAAGGTCCTTGCGCAAAATAGATCCGTGACCCCCGTGTGTTCTGTTGCGGCTGTCGGTGGGCGCATAGATATCCACCTGGGGAGAACTGAAATAAAAAATCTGTTCGATAGAACGTAGCTTCGAAGCTCCAGAACTTTGGCTGACGGGACCCATAGCGACAATGAATAGCGCCTTGGCGATTTTTGCCGGATTGAGACGTTGAGCCTGCATGCTTCCCTTGCCATGCATAATACTTCTTTCAGCATAATGGAGCTTTTCACTTGTGCTGTACAGGGTCCCTGCATGAACTTGCGTTAGGTATGACGTAGAAATGATAGCGCCTGTAACCCATCTGAGAGTACTGTGGCGATGATTTTGCGCAACAGCCAGAATCCCTTAGCCCTAAGCCTTGCGCATCATGCCCCAAGCCCCAAACCGTAAGCTCTGACCTCTAAAGTCCGAGCCCTGAACCTAAAACCCCAAGCCTGAAATCCAAAACCACAAGTCTCAAGCCCTGAGCCCTGCACAAGATATATCCCTTTATATACCAGTTTCATCCTTATTGGAAAGGAACCCCCAAACAGGGACCCCTCTAAATTTCTTTACGCGCTAAACCTTAAGCCCCTAAACCTCAAATCCCTAAAGCCTTGCACCTTAAACCCGTATGTACCCCAAAACAATTTCTTGGATACGCCCTCAAGCCAACCTAAAACTCGAAACCTTAAACCCTGAACTTTAAACCCTAAACCTTAGTCCCTGAACCCGAAGCCCTGAGCCTCACAAACTGAGACCCCAAGCCTGCAGCCCTCCAACCTCCTAAGCCCTGAACCTCTAAACTCGTAAGCCTGTAACCTTCAACCTACGCCCTAAACCCTCAACTCCAGATGCTTAAACCCTAGATTCCTAAACCCTGAATACTTAACCCCCTAAACCCCTAAACCCGTAACCTGGTCCAACAGGTTGGTGCCGGGCAGAGCTTTGGCTCTGGCTTCTGTCCAACAGGGCCAACAACAGCGTGGTCATTGCTCCCTGATGTGCGTGGAGTCTCCTTTTCAGGGTTTATAGGGATATTTAGGGGTTGGGGCTTTGTAGGGGTGTTTACGGGCTTGGGGTTCAGGGACTAGGTTTTAGAGTCGGGGCTTGAGGGCCTCATACTTATAAGTTGGGTTATAAATGCGTCATAAGCGGCATGAATAAGTCCCATGGTTTTACTGGTTGGAACTATACCCCTAATTAAATGATTGGGATGCTGGTGTAGAAACTATTGGTCCCTTTCTTGGAGACGGGACTGTTCCATGTTTCTCTAAAGGATGGTAAGTAAGCTCCTTGACCATTCACTTCGAACCCGTGACCCTTAAACCACTCACCCTAAATCCATAACCACTGAGCTCCAAACCCCCAACCCCTAAGCTTGCCGAAGCCAGGTGTTCTCGCCCACGGAGGCTGAATTCATGTTCCAAGCCGACTGGCAGGACAACAGCATCGCGGGCGGCGACTTTACTGTGCCTTGCTTGTGGGAGGATCTGGGTCCAGTGTAGTGGGGGGTGTTAGGGTTTAGGGCTGTAGGGAGTTAGGGGGGTTGGGGGTTATGGGTTTAGGCTTGCGGAATTTAGGGGAACCTTTATGATTCTGGTGGTCCTGACCGTCTTTGCGGCTGGAGCCACTTTTCGGGGATCCCTTGAGGAGGTGAAGGGGTATGTACTATGCAAACACATTTATATATACATACACACACATTACACACATGTGTATGTATATATATAAAAATACATATTGATAAATATGCATTTCATGTGTGCGCAGAATGGCTAGGGAACCTGCAGGAGGCTCAACCAGATTTTGAAATGGATGCGTTTGGGATTCGGAGCCTGTAGGCTTCGGCAAGGGCATTTCCTCGTGCCCAGGACCCCAAGACCTAAACGCTAACCCCCAAGCCCAAAATCCAAATTCCAAACTCAACCCCCTAAGCCTGTAACCTCAACCCTGAACCCCATACCTTGTCCAGGTATCGGCCGACAGGGATGTGGTTTGCAAGCTTGGAGAAGCAGCTGCGGAAGGCAAACTTCGGCACCTTCGCAACCAGGGCCCAACTGATGCCTATCGCTTCCTTGCCGGTGCAGAGGGACGCCATTATCTTTTTTGGTGATCAATATAACTCCCATACAAACCTAACGGTCCTAAAGGTTGACGTTGGATCAGCATGAGATGCTGGACGCCAAGGCTTCTTTGTGGCGCAGAAGCAGAGGTTCCTGGACTCAAATCCCGTGCCATGGGGCGTTGAGGAGTTTGTTGAGAAGATGCACTTTGAGAGCTTGGAAGATGCGGCAAGAAATCGGGATGGTATGAATGGATTACTTTCTGTGGTTTATGCTGGAGATGTCAGGCTCGTGCGCGTGCTAGTGGAACTTCGCGCGGACGTCAACAGACGAGCTTGCGGCCTTGGCGAGTTCGGATTGTACGATGGTATGACCCCCTTGATTGTTGCCACCCGCTCGAATCAGAGTGCGGAAATGCTTTCTGCCTTGATCGAGCTGCGGGCTGATGTTGATGCCCGAGTCAAAAACACGGGGCTCAGCGCCGCAGGCCTCTTGCGCTCTGAAGGCCAGGTGCAGGTGCTACTGGCTGCACGCGCAGACATGCACTCTCAGGTCCTGCCAGTGCACCTCCACCCCCTGGCCAGCATTGCCGGATATGCTAGCAAGGAGGCTGTCATTGCAATGTTGGCGGCTCGGTGTGACCCGAACCCTCCGATTCTGGGAGGGGTTGGCTGTGGTCCGCTCCATGCTATTGCCTTGTTCGCCAGGGGCAAGAGAGATGCTGTAACTTGCCAGTGGTTCACGGGGGTGCCTGTCTCATGCCGTACAATGGTGCTTATTCCCACCCCCTCATTCCCTATTGATTAAGCCTTCCAAGCCCTAGACCCCACACAGTGTTGTAGTGTCTATTTTCTTTTCATTCCTTGTTCTTTCCTGTCCTTCATTCCCCAGTACTTCCCTCAACCAAGAGACCCAGGTGATTAGTCAGTCCCCATCCCCATAATCCCTTAAACCCCTAAACCCCAGCCCCTACATACGCCGATAATCCCTTCAACGTGACATTCCATCAGGTATGCAAAGCCGAGCTGCTTTTGGAGGCTCGCGCCGACCTAAACGCTCGCTCGTGCACCTCGGGCTCTGTCCGAATGCTCTGCCAGAAGCTGGTTGTTCTTTATAGGGATTTCCTAGGATACAGGGATTTAGAGTTTAGGGCTGCGGGATGAGGATCGCGCTGTTGGAGCTAGGTTTTCCTCATCTAACTTCAAAAAGTGAGCCCTTTCTCGTGAGGAATGCGCGGGTGCGAGCGGCGCTCTGGGGCTTCGAGAGCTGCGCTGCAAAGACTCGCTTCTTTCTGGCGGTTAGTTAGAATGGAGGTGCGAAATTCAAACTCTAATGTTTGACCAGAATCCGGTTCTACCATATAGTAGGGTGTTTTTTGCTTTTGTAATTCTAGTAGTTTTGAGGAGGGTTCTGGATTGGCGCGTTCCGGTTTTTGGATTTTGGGTTGTAACGTGATACTTTGATAGTTCATGCAGTTGATTTCCTTTTTAGTGCTCTTCGACTTGATGCTGCTCTGAACCGACGAGAGAAGAGGATTTCAAACATCCCCCATCTTGAGCCACAACAGGCTTAGGGTGAGGGAGGATGTAACCAGGGAGCCCAACCTAAAAGACAAACCCACAGGAAATGGATCCCTACCTACCCCTCAAGAATAAGCCTACCCATAAAGGGGATATTTGCTATACATGGGGCGGGGATAGGGTACGATAGCCTTTCTGGCGACTATATTGCTTAAATAACCTGTACAGAATCGTTCGCTTCCTGCTTTCTTTTCCGTTACTAAACCCCAAATCCTAAACCTTAAGCCCTGGTTCCCTAAGCCCTAAGCCCTCCGCCTTAAATCCTAAAAGCTAAACCTAAACTGGGTTGCTCTTGGTATATAGTGAATCACGGGGTTTCCTGATAGAATTCCTTAACAGCAGCCCAGTAAGGAGGAAGGGACCCTAAACCCCACATATCCCTAAGCCCTAATCCCTAAACCCGAAACCCTAAATTCACTAAGCCCTAAACCCTAAACCTTAAAATCCCTAAACCCCTAAACCCTAAATATCACTAAACCTTGTTGATTAACAAAAAAAGGATTCATGGCAAGCCTGCCTGGCATCACTCCACTGGGGATGGCAGCTCTCCTCGGGGATGAGGCCAGTTTCAGGGTTTAGGGTTTAGGGTGTGTAGGGTTTAGGGTTTAGGATGTGCAGGGTTTAGGGTTTAGGGTGTGTAGGGTTTAGGGTTTAGGGTGTGTAGGGTTTTAGGGTTTAGGGTGTGTAGGGTTTTAGGGTTTAGGGTGTGTAGGGTTCTAGGGTTTAGGGTGTGTAGGGTTTTAGGGTTTAAGGTGTGTAGGGTTTAGGGTTGAGGGTGTAGGGTCTAGGGTTTAGGGGGTAGGGTTTAGGGTTTAAGGTGTGTAGGGTTTAGGGTTTGGGGTGTGTAGGGTTTAGGGTTTAGGGTGTGTAGGGTTTAGGGTTTAGGGTGTAGGGTCTAGGGTTTAGGGCGTGTAGGGTTTAGGGTTTAGGGTGTGTAGGCTTTAGGGTTTAGGTGTGTAGGGTTTTAGGGTGTAGGGTGTGTAGGCTTTAGG